GAATAATATGTGAGTAAAACCTTGCTTTATTTGAGGAACAGGAAGGAGGACAGGCTGCCCAGAGTGAGGTATGGAAGATGAATTAAAGGCTGGACAGGAGTAAATATAGGGAGACTAGCTTGCAGGTGTTTAGGGAGATTCAGATGAGAAATGATGGTGACCTGGAGGAGTAACAGTAGCAGTGAGCAAAGTGGATAGTTTCTAAAGATATTTAGGAGGTAGAATTAATGATATTTGGAAAGTCAATGATATAAGAGATGAGAGTCACTTGCAGGCTTGAGCAAGTGGGTGGAGGAGAAAGGGAACATTAGAGGAGGAGGAGAGGGCTTAAGGAGTGTCAGATGCTACCGAGAAGTCAAGGAAAATAAGATCTGAAAACTATCCATTGGATTTAGTGACCTGAAAGTCACTGATGACCCTGGGGAGCAGTTTCCTTGGTGGGCAGAGCAAGATTTCAGTGGATTGAAGAGAGTGGAAGGTGAGAAAACAGACAACTCAGTCAAAAGGTTTGGGTAAGAAGGGGAAGAGAGAGAGAAGGTGGTAACTGGACAGGGATGGGAGTCAAGGAAGGTGTTTGGGTACTTTTTTTTTTGTGTGTGAGGAAGATCGGCCCTGAGCTAACATCTGCCAATCCTCCTCTTTTTTGCCAAGGAAGACTGGCCCTGGGCTAACATCCATGCCCATCTTCCTCCACTTTATATGGGACACCGCCACAGCATGGCCTGACAAGCAGTGCGTTGGTGCGCGCCTGGGATCCGTCCGAACCAGCGAACCCTGGGCCGCCACAGTGGAGCGTGTGCACTTAACCCCTTGCGCCACAGGGCCGACCCCTTAACTTCTTTTCTTTTTTTTTTTTTTATAATTTTATTTATTTATTTTTTTCCCCCAAAGCCCCAGTAGATAGTTGTATGTCATAGCTGCACATCCTTCTAGTTGCTGTATGTGGAACATGGCCTCAGCGTGGCCAGAGAAGCGGTGCGTCGGTGTGCGCCTGGGATCCGAACCGGGCCACCAGCAGCGGAGCGCACGCACTTAACCGCTAAGCCACGGGGCTGGCCCTTAACTTCTTTTCATTGTCAGAATCTTGGGCATGTTTAAAATGCTCACAGGATGGCACCAGTAGAGAAGGAGAGGTTGTGAATACCAGAGAGATGCAATAATCTATAGCTAGGTCTTCAGGAACAGGTTGCAGAGAACAGCTAGAAAATTGGAGGACGCCAACTCCATTGTAATTGAAGAAAGGAAGGAAGTGTTGGCTTAGGATAATTTTTTGGTTTGTTGGCAGAAAATTGAGGCTCTTCTCTGAAGTTGCCTCTGTTTTTTCCATGAGGCGCTACTAAGATCATCTGCAAATAGTGAAGAGGCACATAGGAGAGTCAGAAGTCTGAGGATGGGGGAGTATGGAGGACAAGTTGATAAATCAGACAATAGAAGGATTGTTGAGCAGCGTGGAAGTGCTGATAACCATAAGCATCATAACCATGAATTTATAGTGATGCTAGTTTCCTTGACTGTGTGATTTACTTCAGTGGTACCTAGCAGACCAGGGGTAGTCCTGAAGATGGCTGAGCCAGGGTTGGGGTATTGCCAGGTGGACGTGATGAAAGACAGTGCAGCAAGGAGATGTAGGATATTGACAGGAGACTTAGTGTTCAATTTGAATGTCTGTCATCCCTCTTTATAAAAAAACTATGGACATAGTCTAGTTGGTGCTGATTAGACTTTTTTTTACCCCTGGAAGAAAAATGCTGTTATGTTTGAAGAATGCAACTTGGAAATGACCTAAGACAGAGCTTCTTAAATTGTGGTCCCTAGAATAGCAGCATTAGCATCCACCAGGGAAATTAGAAATACAGGTTATCAGGTTCCATCCCAGACCTACTGAATCAGAAACTCTGCAGATGGGGCCCAGCAATCTGTGTTTTAAATGAAAGAATGAGTGAGTGTGTATAGAAAATAGAAGAAAGATGAAGAGGAGCTGAGAGGAGCCTCCATATAATAATCTGTAAATCACTTGATGGCTCATTAAATCTACCTCTACACTTAAAAAAAAAGAAGCAAATTACACCTAATACAAAAGCTATCTAGGCAGATATTTCCTGGTTCTATTAATGACTTTTGCAAATAAAAGCGTTTGTTACGTCTAAAAGTTTACACATATCTTTTTTTTTAAAACTCGTCTGTTTCATAAAGTGAGATAAAACTGGCACGGTAAAATACATTTGTATCTTTAAAGAACTGTAATAATTAACTGAGAAAAGCCCAGGTATTTAAGACAGGAACTTTAAAAGTAAACTTTCATTATCTATTTTTAATTATAAAAGTAATGTACATTAATTTAAAATTTATAAAATACAGAAAAATATAAAGAAAAAACCAAAAATCACTGATAAGGCCATAATCTAGAGATATAATTATATTTTGGTTTATTTCCTTTAGGCTTTTATTATGCCTATGAATATATATATATTTATATATATATTTAATTTTTAAGCATAACTAGGATTGTACTACATGGGTTCAGCAGAGCTTCCAGACTAAGATAGACTAGGAAGAAGGACCTAGCCACCCACTTGTGAAAAATTGGTCATGAAAACCCTATGAATAGCAGCAGAGCATTGTCTGATACAGCACTGGAAGGTGAGAGAATGGCACAAAAAGATTGGGCATGGTTCACTCTGCTGTACATAGAGTCACTGGGAGTCAGAACTGACTCAGTGGCACTAACAACAAACTACATTTTCACTTTCATATCTAAATAACTTTTTATGAGATCTTATTTTTCTTTAGCTCTCCTAAGAACTCCATTGGGGTGAAGAACAGCTCTCTGTAGGTGATGGTTCCTAAACACTAGAGCACTTTGTTTGCACATAGTTGGCACTTAATAAATGTTTTTAGACTGAAGATAATGGAAGATTCCACTGCCTTCTTTTTTAGAGATTTTCCAGATTGCAGTTAACCCATATCTCTGAAATAATCTGAGTGAATCAAAAGCAGTGGTCTTCAAACTTTATCATGCATAATAATCGCTGGGCATTCTGTTAAAATGAAGATTCCTGGGCCCTAATTCCAGAAATTCTGATTTAGCAGATCTGGATATGGCCCAGGGATATCTTTAAACACCTTAAGTGTTTCTGATGCAGGTCTTCTGTGAACAACACTTTAAGAACCACTGATTTGAAGGGAAAAAGGGATTTTGTAATTTTCAGTCCACCAGGTTTAAAGTTAGCATATTCACTTGTAAGATGGTGAGGCTAAGATGGCTAAAAGGAAATAAAGAATTATTATTATAAATTATAAATTTTTTATAAATTATACATTGGCATCATTTGGAATACTTTTAATCAAAGTTAAGCATCCCGTAATTTTTTTCCTTTCCTTCTAAAAGTAATTTTTTTTCATTGATAAAAGATTTTTTTAGTGGTGAAAGTAAGATTTAAGGTAGTTAAATTGCCCTGAGTTCCCATAAGCAAATTTCTGACATCCCACCTGCTTGGATCATTGAGCCCTACAGGATTACAAGAGACACACATGATAAATCCTGAAAGAAATGAGAGAAAACAGTAAGAATCTTAGCAATGAAACCAACAAGCGAACAGGAATATGGAAAATTTATACTTCTGTGGGCAAGTCACAGACAAGATATGGTGACTTACTCACGGAAATATATTTGTGCAAAATCCGTGGCAGTTACTTACCTGAGCCATGTTTTTGTATAGAAAGCACAACCTGTACATCAGGAAGCTTCCCCTTTGATATTAATAGAATCGCCAAAGTTCACTGAAGGAGAATTAGGAACATTCTGAACCACCAAGGGGGACCCTCAGAACCATTTCTAATATATTCAGGCATTTGTGGTATTAAGTAGACAATAAAATATGCAAACCGGTCTATCGAATGCATTTTTGGTTACTCTCCATGCATTGCCATTGCCTGTAAGGTGATTCTAAATGTATTTTAGGGCCTCAGACCCCTTCTGCCTCCATTCTTCTGGTATCCCATCCCCCATTAGTCCTTAGATCTCAGTCAAGAAAGATGAACAGTGATGTTAGTGTTTCTCCCCATTCTCTTCTCTTCTCATAGTTGTTTTGTTAGGATGGTAGATGCTAATAGGTACTTGAAAAAAATGTCCCTTTAAACTCAGTAACTCAGTGGCCACTAAGTCATCTTTATTTTCGTGAGGAGAAGAGGCTACTTAACAGGCAGGGAGTGTGGGGCAACAAAACAAAACTGAGTGTTAACAGATTGCAGTTTATGTGGGAATCTTGCTGGCTTCTCTGCAGAGAAGTGTCCCACTAGAAATTTAATTATCGAGGGAATGGAGATAACTTTTCTGCAGAACTCATTTCTTCCTTATAAAACAAAATTATCAACTTCTTTCCACATAGTTTTTTAGGTTGACCTGCCTAACTGTGTCCTATTGTATTTGGTTTTGGTGACTTAAAAATCTTTCACTTCCCTTTTTACTTGACAAACTTAAGGAAATTGATAAAAACAAACAAGTAAGTACCAGAATGTTCACCGTTACCTTGTTAATAATAGCAAAAAACTGGAAACAAGAAAGTCCATGAATAGAGAACTACATAAATATGTTACATCCTTAAAATAGAATGTTAGCCATTAAAATGAATAAACTAGATAACATGTGTTGATAAGAAAAGATCTCCAAGATATACTAAGGGAAAAAAGCAAGATACCTAACAAATGTGGGTGGTAAGATCCCACTTATACTTTAAAAAAAACTCTCTCTCTCTTTATACACACACACAACACACACACCCTGGCACACATGCTTGGATAGGCATAGAAATTTTCTGGAAGTGATAATAGGTGTTACTTTTGAGTAGTGAAACTAGAGTGTGGAAACTTACTTTTCATTTTATGCCTTTGGTTCTACATGAAAGATTGTCTCATTTTGTGCATATTGTTTTTATAATAATTTCAAAATTAGTTAAAACTTTTAAAATTAAACGATAACCTTTGCACTTCTTGATGTTTAGCTTCTCCTAGGTTTTTTAATCTTTCTGCTTCCTTGGGCTCCACCTTCTCTCCGAGCACTTGTCATGCCCATTCACGTTTACTCTGGACTTCTCATCTTTGGAACAGTGATTGCAACAGCACTTATGGGAGTGACTGAAAAACTGATTTTTGCCCTGTAAGTTCCATAGTTTTCCTAACTGTAATACTTAAGTTATAAAATGTTACATACTTGTTCATTGAAAAAATGTAATATAAATGTAACTTTTTTTGTGTGTATGTGTGAGGAAGATCAGCCCTGAGCTAACATCCATGTCAATCTTCCTCTTTTTGCTGAGGAAGACTGGCCCTGGGCTAACATC